TTTGATACCTTTTCCAGTACATAAAAAAATACATCTGCATTAGAATATGTACATAACACAAGATTCGTGTGTCATCCAGCATGTTATCCTTGATCGAGTTGAGCAATCGATTAAATCATGTGTGCAGACACTTTGTACGTATCCTGCATGTTCTCTAGTCAGTGCAGCGTCTAACACCGATCTGTGGACGTGTGACGACGTGCTTTGTTTTTAACTTATTTTGCCTTTAAACTTCCTTATGGCTCTGAGAATAGCAGGTGCAGTGATGGATTGTCACAGCTTGGAATATGCCACTTCCTTTTGAAGAGGGGGGCGGTGGGAATTATATTTTGTCTTGCAAGTCCAGTGCAGAGGACCACCCATACCATTCACCAGGCAGAAGGAGGGGGGTATGTTTTGCTGGTTACCATCTGAAAAGGGGCTTGCATTTGAATGCAGAGCGGACTCTGTTTTGTTTTGCTGTTCATCCCCTCCCTCGTGTCACTGGAGTAAGCCCTACCCAGCCAGGTGTATACACAGAGCCACAAGGCTATAAAGCAGAGCAGAGCAAGTTTAGCTAGTAGACCCATCAGGATAGTGTACTCTACAAGGTGCCACTCACTGCCTCTTCATTGCCATCTTTTATCCGTCCTCTGATGCCTGCACACTGGGCTCATCAGGATATGGTCATGCAACTTGCTGGGTGCTGCCTGTTCAGACACACTCCCAGCATCCTTCCCTTAGGGGTCCATGTCCCCCATTGATTGACATTGATTCAGGGGTAAAGAAGCCATCACTGTTCATCTTCCAGCAGCCATGGAGTTCTGGACAAACTCTTGCAACTTGGCCAATGAAAATGAATGCAACGGGAACCTCATTTTTGAAATGGACTCCATGGCAGATGACCTGGAAGAAGGTAAACATTTCGTATTTTTCTTTTTAGAGTTCGTTATGAATTAAAAACATCCATCTGACCAGTGGTGGCATTGCAGTAGACTGGTCACTGATTTTCAGTGCGGACGACAGTCAAAACAAGTCTTTCCTGCTACCGAAAATCCAAAATATCAGTTGTCAATGATTTCCGGCAATTCGGAGACTTTCCATCAACGACTGTCCTGCAGAAACTGAAAACTGTTTACCAAATGCTGGCCACACAAGATTTAATCAACTGTTTCAGTTATCGAATCTTGTTTTTCAGAAACTTAAATTATAATAAAAAAATATTTTTAGTTAATTATTAAACTAAAGTCAGCCTTATTCATTTTTTTCTCTGTTTTGTCACAAAGTAGTTTAAAACAGTCAAATCTGTGATCAATTGCTTATCGTTGGGTATATAGTGAGCTATTATTATTATTATTCAGGATTTATACAGCGCCAACAGTTTGCGCAGCGCTTTACAATATAAAGAAGACATTACAATCACAATACAATTTAAGACAAGATGGCAAGGAGGGCCCTGCCCGTGAGGGCTTACAATCTATAGGGAGGGGGAAGTGATACATGAGGAGGTAGCTGTGTCATGATGAATTGTTGAGAATGTGATGGTTGAGCGGTTAGGTTGAGGTGGGATAGAAGAGATGAGTCTCAAGGGGTCGCCTGAAGGCAGTCAGAGTGGGAGATAGAGACAGACAGGTTGGGGTAAAGAGTTCCAGAGGATTGGAGAGACTCTAGTGAAGTCCTAGAGGCGAGTATGGGAGGAGTTGATGAGGGAGCTGGAAAGCAGAAGGTCTTTAAGCTAAAAGAACATTTGGTAACATGCTGGGCAATCTTGTAGAGGAGTTTAGATCTGGTCATATACAGTAATACTTCATTTGGGTTAGGTATTCCAACCATTTTAGAAATATTAATATATTTTAGGATGGCCATACCTCTTTAACAAGGAGGAACCCTTGAAATAGCTTTTAAGCCTCAAGGAACCCCTGTTAAAAAATTACTTTGAGTCATAAAGAAATTCTGGAGGACATGATATTGATGGTAACAACAATGGCCAGAACATAACTACACTAAGTGTAGGGTTCCTTCACATTGGTGGCCATTGAAGTGCCCCCTTTCATTAGTGGTTAGTAGAGAAGGGTCCCCATATATTGGTGCTCATTGGGCCCCTTGACACTGGTGCTCAATGGGAAGAATTCTCGTTACAGATAGCTAAGAAGATCATTCATGTCAATGGTTACTTATGTGGGAGGCAGAAATTGCTCATTGCTCAAGGAATCCCTAGCAGCTTCTGGAGGAACCCTAGAGCCTTGCTTAAGAAAGGCTGTAGGGAATGTAGAAAACCTAGTACAGGGTGTGGGGTTGCTGGCATAGGTTGCCCAGCAAGCTGGGAAATACCCACAGCTGACTGTTTGCTTTTCCATTCCTCACTTCAACTTCTTGTTAAACCAGTTAAAGAAAAAGAGTTTTGGGTGGTTGCTTCAGGTTTTACGAGTTCTGCGGCCAAGCTTAATCTAAAACAGTTTCATCCAACCATTGTGCTATTTTCACATATTACTTAGTGCTAAAAAGTGGCCCTCTGTCCCATCTCAGAAAGTTGAGGTTTAGGTTGTTGTTGTTGAAGACTGTTATCTGGGATGTCATTACTTGCAGAGGAACAGCTGTTCAATGCCTTCCATGTTGGCTGGTGGTCTATATACACCACTGATAGCACTATCTCCAGGACTTTCTGTATGGGTGGTCTGGGATGAACAAGTGATGTATATATTTATAAACACACACAATGATGTGTTTGTATACATAGAGGTTATGTAAATATGTGTCTGTGTAGCTTTCTACCCAAACTCATGAATAACACTGAGGCTACTGTGACTAAACAATTGCAGTTAAGGCACTAAGTGAATCTATTCTTTATTTTACCTTAATCATCATTATGCATCATTATGGGGTATAGAACAGTGGAGCTGTTCTATACCATAGCTAATTTGAAGCTGAACTCTACTGTGCGGGAGCTTCCTGTTATAAAGACCAGTCACTGCTGTTCTCTCCTCTTAGTCAGGGTGACTGGTCTTGACTCCTCCCCCTCCTGTTGTTTTCTGCAGGCAGCCTGTTATAAAGACCGATCACTGCTGTTCTCTCCTCTTGTTCAGGGTGACTGGTCTTGACTCCGCCCCCTCCCATTGTTTTCTGCAGGCAGCCTGTTATAAAGACCGGTCACAGCTGTTCTCTCCTCTTGTTCAGGGTGACTGGTCTTGACTCCACCCCCTCCCGCTGTTTTCTGCAGGCAGCCTGTTATAAAGACCAGTCACTGCTGTTCTCTGCTCTTGTTCAGGGTGACTGGTCTTGACTCCCCCCCTACCATTGTTTTCTGCAGGCAGCTTGTTATAAAGACCAGTCATTACTGTTCTCTGCTCTTGTTCAGGGTGACTGGTCTTGACTCCGCCCACTCCCGTTGTTTTCTGCAGGCAGCCTGTTATAAAGACCAGTCACTGCTGGCTGTTCTCTGCTCTTGTTCAGGGTGACTGGTCTTGACTGGTCCCCTTCCTGTTTTTTTCTGCAGGCAGTCTGTTGTAAGTGGGGCCTGCTGGGCTCCTCCCACAGCTCTGCTCTCTTCACATGCTTTTTTTTTTTCAAGGTAATATATGTTTGCAAAGGCATTTGCTGCACACAAAGTGGATTTATATCCTTTGGGGCTACTGAGAAATATATTTAAATGAAAGTTCTTCTTTAAAGTAAACATTTCCTTAGATAAATATGAAGGCTGCCATTGCTGAACTCCCTGTGAAAATGCAAATTTGTTGTCTGTTATAATGAACGTCTGGCTTCAGCACTAACCCAGAATTAGTATGGAGATTAATAGTCCTGACTCTCCTCATGTGAATACGTGTTCTGGGTCAGTAAACACTGAAGCCTGTGGATCTGCATGACAGCCAGACATCCACCATGGCCAACAGTGGCAGCCTCTGTTTCTTTCCTGGTCTCTTTAACCATCTGCAACTGAATGTAGAAATATGGGACCAACATGACTACAGCTTTCAAAGTCCTCTATTGAGGGATAAATATGGGAACGTTGCCATTATGTGTATGCAATGGTGATTTCAATCAATAGCCTGCCCTGCAGTGACTAACATATAATCAAAGGTATTTCCTTTTTGTATGCTGGAGTCACATACCCAGACAAAGCAATTGTACACCTGAATGGACATAATGCTGGAAGATTACAATGTCCACTTTCCTTATTGCTGAGCAGTGTTGGTTGTTAAGACCGGTCTTCAATGGCTCCAGGGGAGATCTGAGCTGAGAATTTGCAGATTTGCACCTCTCGTTCCAGGTACACATGTGCAGACACGCTCTAGTGTCTAGTGTAGTATGTATACCACACATACATGCGTTGTCTGTTAGATAAAGATCATCTAACATCTGCAATGGTCCTTTAGTTCCATAATACAAAGGGAATTTCATGCCGTATGCTTTAGAGTTAAAACTTTGGTATTCTGAAGTCATTGTTTAATTTGTATTATTACTCACTTTCTTTTGAAGTATGGATTTTAATCTAGCAAGGGTTAAATAGTAATTGACCCCCACTCTTCTCAGCGTGAGTAACCTTTCCACGGTCTGGAATGAGCAGCCAGTCCACTGTTTACTATCCGAAAAACTCCAATTATTTCCAATTACCGTCTTCATTAACTGACGCGATTCAGTCACCCTTTGTGGAGGTTGCCTCTTAATGGGACTGGAAGCACAAACTTCTGATAAAATATATTCTGGACAAATGTCAGCCTTAAACAGCAATCCGTTTTATATGTATTAAAAAAAAAGGTTTTCATATTTTTGCTGCTTTAGTTATGCAAATATTTGTATTTCCACATATACAAAATGGTTCCAGCGTTACTCTTTACTTTTCGTTAGCTGCAATGGGGCCCATATAAATGAGCTTCTCTCACCCATTACATATTGGGGCTCCTGTAGATTAGACCTTCTCACCCATTACATATTGGGGCTCCTGTAGATTAGACCTTCTCACCCATTACATATTAGGGGTCCTAGGCATGAATGAGCCCTAACAATTGTGTTTTTGTATCTTCCAGTGCTGTGTTCCGAGCGAGTTGGCAGAATCACCAAGACCTATCGGGACATAGATGCTGTGACCACTCTGCTAGAAGAGGTAAGTAACCCCTATTAGTTAAATCAGTACTTTGTTACCCAATGTACTATGCATGTTGCTTTTATAAGGAAGCATAAAGTGTATGTCAGAGCAAAATAAAATAAAAAAAAATGTTCAGTCCTTCTCTGCAATACAAGCACATTTTCCCATGATTTATCCATTTCAAAATGCTGCAGGTACAGAAACATACCCGTTGATATGCCAGAAATCCAGTGTGCCCCTAGCTGTACCGTTTGGGTAATTTGCTTTTTCTGCACTGAAACCTGCCTGCTGGACTACAGAACTCTGCCTATCCCCCGTCCCTCTTCCCATACATACATTGATTTATTTCTCAGCAAAACAATTGTGCTGTCTCCCCAAGAGCCTGATCGCACACTGTTTTAGGGAAAAGGACTCTTAGAAGATATAGTTCTTAGGTCATGCCTACAGCAGTTGCCCTTGAAAGAGTTTTAGGAGCCCGGTGATGACATCACAGGAAGTAATAAAAGCTATTTCTTTCTATAGAAACAAGGTAAAAGGCAAAGATAATGCCGAGCCATTCTCTAGAGGGGGAGAGGGTCGTTTGGCGCTAGGTTTGGGTAATATCATGAATTCAGCTGCTAGACTCATCCACCTGACCAACCGCTCAGTGTCTGCAACCATCTCTGCCAATCCCTGCACTGGCTTCCAATAGCCCAAAGGATAAAGTTCAAAAAATTAACAACCACTTACAAAGCCATCCACAACTCTGCCCCCACATATATCTCAAACCTTGTCTTAAAGTATCACCCTAAGCGTCTGCTCCGGTCATCCCAAGACCTCCTGCTTTCCAGCTCCCTCATCAACTCCTCCCATGCTCGCCTCCAGGACTTCACTAGAGCCTCTCCCATCCTATGGAACTCTCTAGCCCAACCTGTCTATCTCCCACTCTGACTGCCTTTAGGTGATCCCTTAAGACTCACCTCTTCAAGGAAGCCTATCCCACCTCAACCTAACCACTGAAATATCACTTTCTCAAACAATTCATCCCCACACAGCTACCTCCTCATGTATCACTTCCCCCTGCCTTTTAGAATGTAAGCCCTCACGGGCAGGGCCCTCCTTACCATCTTGTCTTGAATTGTATTGTTATTGTAATGTCTTCCTTATATTGTAAAGCGCTGTGCAAACTGTCGGCGCTATATAAATCCTGATTAATAATAATATCTTGACATACAGTTTCAAACTATACTGTGCTTTGTCCGTTCTGGTTTGTACAGGTTTGTACAAGACCCTCCCCCTCATCCCCAAAAGTATAGGAGGCAGGGGAGGTAAGTCATCAATTCCATAAAACAAGTGCTGCCACTGTAATAATACCTTTCTGGCACATGCTGTAAAGTGATGTAGCTCAGAAAAGGGACCCTGATCATACGGAGGGCTGCAGCCCCTTAATCAACGCTGTTTTATACCTTTTTGGGATGTAGACTGATGCCAGTCCTAGAATAACCAAAAACCAAGTGCAAACTCAAACCACCACTTATCACTGGCACCAAAGAGGAACACAAGGAGAATTTCTCATAGCCAGGGATCACTGCACAGTATAACTTTTATTGATTAGAAACCGCACATACCGAGCCAAGAGCAGACTTTGCTTATGTTGCTTAGCTATCTATCTATCTATCTATCTATCTATCTATCTATCTATCTATCTATCTATCTATCTATCTATCTATCTATCTGTGTTTTGTGCTGACTAAGACATAGCTATTTGAGGGTATTTTTATGGGGTTTGTGTACTTACTTGGTATATTATTGCCATCCTCAGAAAGAGAGAGACCTCGAGCTGGCCGCTCGTATTGGCCAGTCTCTTTTGAAGCAGAATCGAGAACTGACAGTACGGAATGAGTATTTGGAGGAGCAGCTTGAGGCCACTAAAGAGGAGGTGATTATGGGCTGTATGCTGGCGTTTAAAGCTAATATGAGAAACCTTCTTATCAATCACGATGTATAACATTTTTTTTTATTAAACTGGATTCTTAGGTGCATCAGCTTCGTCATGAAGTCTCCATGCGGGATGACCTTCTCCATCTGTACACCAGCAACTTGGAAAGCGAGTCCACATCTGCCACTGCTACACCGTTAGTATATATTTTCTGTACAGGGTTATATCACATCCATTGTGTTGTAGTCTAGGATTTTAGATCATTCACACAGTTGACCTGACATCCTGATTATCCAGGACATGGCTGTTAAACTTTTATAAGGACCACTGCACAGTCCCTGAGAGATGAGAGTGATTGGCCCTTAAACCACTACCGTGCATAGTGTACATAGGTGGATCTTCTGCCTGTTTGTGCTCCCTCTACTGAGCTGAGCAGAGAGTGCACTAAGGCAACATGTCTTACATTGATCTTTCAGGCTTCAGCAAGGTTAGAATCTAATCAGCTTCACTCTCTTTGAGCTAAACAATCAGTAAATGGTATGAGGCCTTTTCTCAGCGGTGGCGGCCAGTTTTTATAGCGAACGCCTAGGTTTTATGCTCCCCTCCTAGGCAGGTGGGGGCTAGAGAAGATGCAAGATGTATACAATTTTCTAAGAATTTGTTGTTTTTACTTTGTCTAAAATGTCCTATTAGTTAGGCAATTGCTATGTGAAATCTACTGAGGGAACTGTAGTAAATGATTAACTGATATATTTTATCTTGCCCTGCTAGACTGCGTAGAAACCAATCTTCATTCCGTCTTGAGCACAATGTCCAGCTGGATTCTCTCCAACAGAAGCTCAAGAGTCTAGAGGAAGAGAACCAGAAGATGCGTAATGAGGTGAGTTCAGTGTAAACCAAAAGTTTCATGAATAAAAAATGGTCTAAGCTGCAAGCCAATGACAACGTTCTACTTTTTTTTGACAGGCCAGCCTCATCCTTGAAACAACGAATGACTATGAAGACCAGGAGAGTTCATTAATGCTGGACTGCGTAGAACAATTCTGTGAGTTGTTAATAGGGAAATCAGCTGATCTTTGGAGACAGGCATAGTAATTTGTTGTTGGCGTCCAACCTGATTTAAAGTGAAACTGCAGTTTGGAGCTTAAACAGGTCTGAGGATTCTCTCTCCCTGTTCAAAGTGACAGCGCTAAGTGCCTTACCGGTGATTCACCAAGCACCAATAGTAATATAAGAAAGAAATGGGAGTGAATACCTGGAAGTACTGGGTATTTTCTTCTGTTCCGGTGGCATAAGGGAATGAAGGAAAGATGATTATTTGAAGCTGGATGGGTGTCAGTTAAGCAATCCTGTTGGTTAATCCTAAATGAGAAAAGGACAGGTTCAGTAGAAGCCATGTTATGCCTGTACTCTCCCCTCTGATACATGATGGTCTGGAAATAATGTTCCTACAGGGCCACAGAACCTTTGGCTTTTATATGATATGACAAGCTGAGGAGAAGTGCCCACACTCCTGTATATTCTAATTTTCTACATGTTTATGAATGTTATCGCCCTACAGATCCCATCAAAATGATGTCTTTTTTTCACTGTAATTTATGTAATTTATGGTATGTGGGGAAGTTAGACCCACACATCACTTAGGGACGATTTTCTTTAATATTGTCTATTAATGTAATTTTTTAGCGGAGGCCAGCAGGCAGATGGCACTGTTGGCAGAGGAATTGGCACGCAGGGGTGAAGATGCAGCCCGGCAGCAAGAAGAGATCAGCCAGCTTCTAGCCCAGATCGTTCACCTGCAGCAGAAGTGTCGCAATGTAAGTGTCTACTCTCATTTTCAAATTATTGCCATAGCTGTATAGACTTTTTAGGCAGAAAAGTCGCCAACTATGATAGTCGCCGCTCTGAGAGTTTATTACTTTTTTTTTAGACCTCCTCAGAGAATGAAGAACTTCACCAACATCTATCTATTGTGAGGGACAGGGAAAGCTTGCTAAAAACTGAGGTAGGTTGAAAACCTGGCACATGTGGATCACTTAAAAAGGCTTAACACTTTAGAAGTTTATTAAATACTGTCCCTGAGACTCCCATTGTATAATATGTATCTAGGACTGTAATCTAAATCTTTGGTGCCCAACATGTGGCCTTTTGGTAGCTATTGCCTGCTCCTCGGGCCCCAACAGTTAGTAGTCATATTAGGTGCATTGATTTGTATAGGGTTGTAATAACAGTGATCTCTAGCAGTGTTTTATAACAAGTACCCAGTCTCTGAATATCTCATGTAGCATGCCTATAGTCTCTGACCATCTATTCTACTATGTCTGCAGCACCAAAGCATTTTCTGTAGAGTAAACTTCACTGAATATAATGCAAGGTCCACTGCGGATGTCAGCAGCCGCAGTTGAATCATCCTGTATTTAGAAAGTTGACCACCACTGGTCTAAATTAAGTTATTCTTTAGTAGTCGAAGGTTGATGTCGAACCTTTGATGGACTTCATTTGCAGTAAAAAACAGAAAGTATGTGAAGTATGTGAAGTAAGAGTTAACTCATAAGACCAATCTATGCTTCTCTAGGGAGCTATCGGCTATAGATGGATGAAGGCTCACCAGCAGTACCAAGACGTGAAACATCTGCCCATGCTCCCTTAAATTGTCAGGATACGTCGTGTTTAAAAGCATTGTTTGCAATAGGATTCCCTCTTAAACTTTGTAAATACTTATTACTGTACCTGTTTTAAGCCATATATAGGCCAATAATCATTTCAAGGAGTGTTCATATTGTTTGCTTTGCCTCACAATCGCCTTAAAACTACTAGGTTGTGTATAAACACATTAAGACACTTTATTTGAATGCTGGTCCTGTGAATAATTAAAGAACTGGGTGCTCAGCTCACTTTTGTGGTCCTCTTCAGTTTCAAGACCTTCAGGAAAAGCGCAGGGAATGTCAGGAGATGCTGAACGAGGCACAGGAGGAGCTGAAGAACCAAAGGAACCGAAGCCTCCCCAACAGCACCATCAGCAGATACAGCACACTGAACATTTTCCCTTTGGTAAGTAGCAGACATTGAGCAAGACCGCCTCAGGGGGATTATGGACAATGCGCCATGTTCCTGCGGAGTGGTAGCATTGTAGCTTTATTGTGCCTTTTCTTTCTGCAGGATTCTTTAGCAGCAGAGATTGAAGGAACAATGAGAAAAGGGATTGATTCCTCTTCAGAATTAAAGTAAGTTACAGGATATTAAGCAACACCTTTAATTTGCATGACTGAATAATCTAGAACATTTTGTTCCATCTAATGTATCACTATATGCCAATATTTGGGCATAAGCATCTCCTCTTTGTTGAGCCCCCTCCCTTTCTACTTTCACTTATTATGGATAGTCCTCCTAAAATAGGTATACTTGTGAGTTGTGGTGTCTGCAAGCACACAAATACATTAACCTTATCCATCTTGTAGAAGGTCAGAATTCAGCTGGTAAAAAAACAGAGGGAATGAATGTAAAAACATTTTTAGGTTGGCTCAAAAAATATTTGTTTCGATGCTGTGTTTATAACATTTTTACTTCTATTGTAAAGCTGTGCAAGTCTGACATGTTCAGTTATGTCATTGCTTCACCCTACACAGGAGCTACAAGCGTGTCTTTGAGACCGTGAAAGCAGCCAACCTAGTGGTAAGGTCTCGTGGTCCTTCACAGTGGCCGTCCGCTGCTCCAAGTCGTGTGGGCACTCCTCCAATGAGCTTCTACGAGTCTGAGGGTTCCAGCTTAATGCAATTGGAGGAAGAGACTTTACTGCCAGAAGGAGAGAAGGAATCTTCTGTGTAAGTTCCAGGTCTATAGACATCTATGCAAGCCCAGATGTTCATTCGATGTTTTGTAGCTCAGTTAGAACATTGTATGCCATGGAATTGTTTTCATCTTCGCAATCTATGGTCCTTTCTAAAATGTTTCTTTGCCATGTGCAGTGCTGGGGAGAAGAAGTTGGGAACACCCGGTACACCTGGAGGACATGACCTGGCCGCTGCACTTCAGAGACTTCGGGCTCAACAAGAATCCGACTCTCCAGATTTATTTGAAGAGAGGGAGCACAAGTTGCAACGACATGGAGAAGGCTCCAGTGGATTCCTTACACCCAATGACAGCCTCCTGTCCACTGGTACCAATTATTCTGGCATTTCTGAAGCCAGTGGCAGCTCTGGTCTGTCTTTGGGATCAAGATGCTACCTACCTGAGAAGCTGCAGATTGTCAAACCACTGGAAGGTAAGCCCATGGCTTGGTCCCTACAGAAGAGACAGATGGATACTTATATTTCTGCATCCTACTTGACTCAAATTGTGGGCTTTCTCCAAACATAATCATATGTATTATTATAAACCCTTTGGTGGCGAATATCTAAATACAGTTGCTTATCCACACCATGATTTAATTCGTTTTTTCATTTATCTTGTTTGCATGAGGACACATTTGACATTCTAGCAAATAAAACAGTTAGTAATACTCCAATTAATAAAAAAAATACAATCCCTGTAGGTGAACTAGGTTTTAGCAAGCCATATTGCAGGGGCTTACTTTTTATGTTCACATTTGCCTTTCTATATTCTTATCAAACTGCTAATTGGTAGAATCTGCCTCCATTACCACCACCCAAGCTATCTTAGTGTTGTCATAAGAAAAAACATCATCTGGATTATTGAAGCCATTAGGTGTGTTAAAAAGTATTTCTGCCATATCGTCTACTGCAGGAGATGCCTGTAATTTGCCTTTATACTGTAAGATGTTTCTTGAAACATAAGGAACTCCTCACTTGCCAGCTATCTCCATTGTACAGTTGGCAAGCCTTTCTTCCTTTCTATTTTTGTCAGGTTTTCTTAGCTGTCTGTTATTTACAACAGCTAGTCCCACAGGAGAAATGGAGAACACTCTCTTGTAGGGATGCACGAGTACCGTTTCTTGGTTGCCCGGGAAGCCGGATCCGTGCTGTTTGGCTGGCTCAATGCTGATTGGCCAGGAAGCCGGCATCCCATCCAATCAGCTCGTAGCTGGCTTCTCAGCCAATCAGGAGGCAGGTCATTACCATGGTCCAGCTTCCCGATTGGCCAGGAAGCCGACTTCATGTTCCCTCACGGCGCTGCCGGTCAGAGGAAATCTCCCTCTGACCGAAAGTTTCGTTTTCGGTGGTAAGTATTAGAGCATTTGTGGCGAGTACGAGTATTCACCCAAATACTCGGGATCGGTGCATCCATGCTTTCTTGCCATCTACAGGATAGAAATGTTTGTTGAGGGACAACTTATACTCTTCTTCAAGAGTGTCTAGAAGAAACAGACATCTGTAGCTAGGTGGAAGGACTCCTCCCCTCTATCAGGTTGTATTACAGATAAGGCCACATAATAACAAGTATACACTGAGTGGCCAGATTATTATGACCAACTGACGTCTGTAGGCAAATTAGCTATAATTAGCTATAATTTCGCGCTGAAGTTGCTAGAGGGCCAGAGCATTATAAATAGGGAAGCAGGTTGTTTACCACGGCAGTAGAAGTGATTTTTTTTCTGAAGATACGTGTAAACAACGCGATTTAACAGCCTTTGAACGTGGGATGATTGTTTGAGCGAGCCATGGAGCGAGTATCAGCAAAACAGCAGAATTCATTAAATGTTCAAGAGCAGCTGTTGTTAAAGTGTTTAAAGACTGGACAGTCAGCCGAAAATCTGGGTCTGTACGTGCAAATTGTGGCCGTCAGCGACTGGTCAATGTTAGGGCAGAACGGAGAGTGGCAAGACTGGTACAAGACAACAGAAGGGCAACAGTGCAGTGTCAGATTCCTCGCATCACCTTTCTACATCTCGTGGAGTCACGAGGCGGCCCAACGAAGTCATCTCGTGGAGTCATCTCGTGGCCCAACGAAGTACTGATGGGGGTGGTCATAATAATCTGGCCACTCAGTGTATGTTTTACAGAAGTGTTCACCCAATTACATAATTGTCTGGTCCATAGGCATTCCACTCTATCTTATGTATGTCCATGGTAATCTTCTAATCTCCTTTTTCCAGGTTCAGCGACCCTCCTGCACTGGCAGCAGCTTGCAAAGCCAAATTTAGGTGGCATTTTGGATCCCAGGCCGGGTGTTCTCACCAAAGACTTTCAGAAACTGGACCATGATGTAGAGGATGTCTACAACCTCAATGACTTTGAGGAAGATGACCTGGAACCAATGTATTTCCAAGCCAGGGTGACCTCCACTCCTACCAAAAACAGGGAAAAGAACAGCAGTGAGTAGCTGATAAGACTTCCTTGTACAATGTCTCCTGACCGATGGCCATATGCTGCCATTACTTATATTTAAGCATATTTTTTTTAAAGTAATTTTCTTGTCTGACTTTTAGTCTGTTATTGTGGGTATTGCTACACAATATCTAGTCATCTCTTTCATCTATAGATGGTCACAATCCTCTTGTGTCTTCTCAAGCACCTTTTTTCTGTCTAACTTCTGTGACACATGTCTGTCATGTTCCTTGTCCATAATAAGTAGATTCCTTGTGTGTTTCAGTGTTCAGTTCCGCTAACAACCTCCCCCAGACACCATCTACGTTCACCATAACCACATGTCGTACCCCGCACGTTCTGCAGGACATTACAATGGTCACATCCAGGTGGGTTTTCTCCCTCATGTCATACTGTGTATTCATGTCATTGTCTTATGGTTGGATAAGGAGGTTTGCCAGGTTTTACCAACTTGCTTGCAGTAATACATGATCCCTAAACATCCTTGTCATTGACTGCAGGTAAAATGTGCAGTCCATAAACATTGTGTGACATGCCTCCAAGCTTATGTGCACCATGGACTTATACAGAAGCACACTGTCCCTTAATGTGAGGGTGCAGGGTGAAGAGGTTCCATTTACTCCTTTGTCTCAATTAAATATTCTTTAATATGTTAATATTGGTAATTTAGCTGAAAATTCCTTTGAAGAATAAGTGTTTTTTAACACACCTTGGCTCCATAGATCCAGGCAGATCGAGCAATTTGGAAATGTTTTTTGCTTTGCCCTGCTGCCCTTCCTTTTTTCTTCCATCTGCATTGCTGTGATCCTCCAGTGCTTTGCCAGTTTACATTTTCTGTCAAATGGCCAGTGAATTCATCTGCAATTGCCAGTGAAGTCATTTGCAGGTCTTCATAGACATTTGTAGTTAAATCAGGGAAGGCAGTCTAACAGTCTTCTAGATCCATGGCTTCCCGATCTCCTGCTGAGATGAGTAAGGAGCCACCACAGCATGAGCACTTCCATTGATGCATTTGTATAAAAATAGAACAATCCCCTTCAGGATTTCCTTCTGTAAATAAAAGTTCTAGCTTTATAGGATATTTCTTGACTACAAAATCTATGATTTTAGCAACTGTAGCTAGATCAGCCATAGTTAATTGTTATCACAAAGCCTCACTTGTTCTTTAAACATATATTTCCTGGTGCATCGATTGGCAGCACACCAACCTGTGGTGTGCTGCCAAGATGCCCCAGGAAAATTGTATACTTACTTTCCGTAATTTTCCTTTCCTGGTGCATCGATTGGCAGCACACCATAGGTTAGTGTGCTGCCAAGATGCCCCAGGAAATATATATATATAGATATATATAGATATACAGCCATGGCCAAAAATATTGGCACCTCTGCATTTCTGTCAGATAATGCACAACTTCGCGCAGAAAATTGTTGCAATTGCAAATGTTTAGGCATTCTCATGTTTTATTTTGTTTGTTTGTATTGGTATGACACAAAAAAGTTGAGGAAAAAAAAAAAAGCCAAACTTGACACATTCCACGTAAAACTCCAAAAATGGACTGCACAAAATGATTGGCCTAAGTTGGGACAACGTCAGAGGTCATGGGGCTTACAGCAGGGCAATGACCCAAAGCACATGTCAAAAAGCACCCAGATATGGTTTCAGACAAAGCACTGAAGAGTACTGGACTGGTCAGCAATGAGTCCAGATCTGAATCCCATAGAGCACCTGTGGAGAGATCTCAAAACTGCAGTTGGGTAAAGGAACCTTTCCAATCTGAGAGACGTGGAGCAGTTGGCGAAAGAAGAGTGACCCAAAATTCCTGTAGAGAGGTGTAAGAAACTCATTGATGGCGACAGGAAGCCATTGATTTCAGTTATTTTTTCCAAGGGCTGTGTTACCAAATATTAATTGAGGGTGCCAATAATTTTGTCCAGTCCTTTTTTGGTGGCTGCATTAGATTTTTTTTTTTTAGGCTAAGAACATTTTCAAGAAATACCTGTTGATCTTGCCAGAAATGCTTTGTCTTTGTCCCTTTCTGTGAGATGAACTGGAAGCAAAAACAGTCTTATCTTTGTACTGTGAACTACTAATCTCCCCACCCCTTGTGGAATGGAAATGGACAAAGGCAGATATGTTTAGAGTCCTGGAATGAGCATAGCTGCCCAGGACAGGAAGTGTGTTACTGGCAGGATCACCAGGAGAAAATAAAGTATTAAAAAAACAAGAAAACAAATGCGGCCAACACATTTAAGGATTGCTAAGCTGCAATATATAACATTTTTGCTTTTGGGTTTAGATATGCTTTAATTGCTTTTCTTGCAGCGCATGGGTTGCGCTTTTTCACCTCTCCACTCCGACACATGCACTTTGCTTCCTGTGCCCCACTCATGTTTCCATTTTCCATCCTCACGGTTCTAGGCACTTCAAGTCCTGGTGGAAGCGCCTTTTCCAGTGTTTGACTTTCTGAGAGGCGTCTGAGCGCAGGGTCAGACTCCACAACAAGGCCACAGGTAGCCAGCAGTGACCTTCACATTTCTTATAGGACACTCAGTGACCAGGACTGGAACAGTATCCATCAGTCACTGGATTCTACATTTTATTAAAGGGAGGACTATACTGCCACCTAGTGTACAATATGTATGCTACCACTCCTGTTCAGCTGGTAGCTGTCTAGGTGGCTTGTCTGCCCAACATATATATATATATATAT